GGGGACGGTGAGGATTTCAACATCTGGATTTGGGGTGGGGCACAAACATTCAGCCCATAACAAGGTCGAAGCCCAAGGAACCCCAGGAGCACCAGGGTCCAGCTAGCAGCCTGCTGGCTAGGCTGGAAGGGTCTCTGAGGCATCCATACTAATCATGTGGGGCACAGCTCACCAGCAGGGCAGGAAAGAGACCACTTTCTGGAAAGTGGCACTGGAACCTCTGAGAAGGCACCAAAGGGCTCAAACTTCCATTAGAGCAGGAAGGAGCTCGATGAACAGAGAGACTCTATCTTTCCTGGCTCTGGGCTCTCTGAATACCTACCGGCTGACTCCAGAACAGGCCTCTGATAAAGGTCCAAGTGCAAGAAACACAGGCAGGCTTGAGAGGCTGAAGTCCTTGCTTGCACAGCTGGTGGCAGCTCTCTTGGGCTGCAGGTCCCTGCTTCCCTGCTGCCCCCTGTCTCTGGGGGACCACAGCGCTGACATCAGCCCTGCTCACTTCAGAACCAAAGTCTTTGCTCCGATCTCCCCTGCCTGACCACTGCCTCTGGGCCTCCCAATTCAAACCCTCACATACACCACCCTAGACAAATGGGGGCACTTCCAAAGGAGGAGCTGCAGGCTGGGGAGGAATTCTCAAGTTTACCATTACTCAGGCAAGTCCTTGCCTTCAAGAAGCCTAGCTTCTCCGTCTGTGAAATGAGCTGATTCCTGCCTCACTGTTGGGTGAGAAGCTTGAGATCACCTGCTGGGCCCTTGATGGGCTCTCAGCAAAGTCAGCTGTCCCATTACATGGCTAAAAAGGCAGCATTGGGTCCTCTTAATGATCCAGCTCACAGGAAAGTTAAAACCATTTAAAAATACATGCATCAAAATCAATGTAATACAATGTATCGATAGAAAAAAACATGATTATCTCAACTGATGCAGGAAACATTTGATAAAATATAAAACTTTTTCATACTAAAATACTCAATAAACTAGGAATAGAAGGACACTTCCTCAATGCGATAAAGGTCATATATAAAAATCCCACAGCCAACATCATACTCAGTGGTGAGAAACTGGAGGCTCTCCCTGCTCTTACCACTTCTAGTCAGCTTAGTGCTGGAGATCCTAGCCAGAACAGTAGGGCAAGAAAAAGAAATAAAGGCTTTCAAATTGGAAAGGAAGAAGTAAAATTATTTTTTGCAGATGATATGATCTTCTATTTAGAAGACCGTAAAGATTTCACAAAAGCACTGCTAGAGTTAATAAATGAACTGAGCAAAGTTTCAGGATACAAAATCAACACACAAAAGCCAGTGTGTCTCTATACATTGACAATGAACAATCCAAAAAGGAAATTAAGAAAGCAATTCCACTTTCAATAGCATCAAAGAGAATAAAATATATGGAAATAAATTTAACCAAAGAGGCAAAAGACTTGTACACTAAAAACTACAAAACATTACTGAAAGAAATGAACGAAGTCCCAAACAAATTGAAAGTCATCCCATACTCACAGAGTGGAAGACTTTATTGTTAAAATATCCACATACACAAAATAATATACAGATTAAATGCAATCCCTATCAAAGTCCCAACAGTTTTTTTTTCATAAGTAAAAAAACCCATTCTAAAATTCATACGGAATCTCAAGGGACCTCAATAACCAAAACAGTGTTGGAAAAAAAAAAAGAATAAAGTTCTTTTTTTCGGGAGGACTCATACCTCCCGATTTCAAAACTTATTATGAAGCTGCAGTAATCGTGAATGTCTGACATAAAGATAGACATACGGACCAATGGAATAAAGTAGAGATTGCAGCAAAAACCTTTGTGTTTATCATCAACTGATTTTTTTAAAAGATTTTATTTATTTTTACAAAGAAGGGAAGGGAAGGAGAAATAGAGAGAGAGAGAGACGCGCCAATTGGTCCCCTCTCATATGCACGCCGACCGTTGGGACCGAACCTGCCACCCAGGCATGTGCCCTGACTTTTGCTTTGTGGAACTGTGGAAATCCAGACAACTGAGTGACACGGGTCAGGGCTCTCATCAATTGGGTTTTGACACAGGTGCCAAGACCATTCAATGGGGAAAGACAGTCTTTTCAACAAATGGTACCAGGAAAAACTGGATACCTGCATGCAAAAGAATGAAGTTGTACTGTAACTTTATACAAAGTTACACAAAAATAACTCAAAATAGATCAAAGACCTAGACCTAAAACTATAAAACCCTTAGAAGAAAACAAGGGAAAATCTCTACAATATTGGATTTGTCAATGACTTCATGGATATGACACCAAAACAACAAAAGAAAAAATGGGTAATTCTACTTTATCAATATTAAAAGATCTGTGCATCAAAGAAAACCATCAAAAGAGTGAAAAGATAGCTCACAGAATGGGAAAAATATCTGCAAATCATATATCTAATAAGAGGTTAATAAGCAAAATATACCAAAAAACAAAATAAAACAAACTCTTATAATTCAACAACAAAACAAACAACCCAATTTAAAAACGGGCAAAGATTTGAATAGACATTTCTCCAAAGAAGGCATCAAATGGCCAACAGGCACATAAAAAGATGCTGACTATTGCTAATCACTAGGGAAATGCAAATAAAACCCACAAGATACCACTTCAGACCCATTAGAATGGCTATTATCAAAAAAGCAGATGATGCCCTGGCTGATGTGGCTCAGTGAATTCAGCGCTGGCCTGCAAACCAAAGGGTCATCAGTTCAATTCCCAGTCAGGGCACATGCCTGGGTTGCAGGCCAGGTCCCCAGTAGGGTGTGCACAAAGGCAACCACACGTTGATGTTTCTCTCCCTCTCTCCTTCCCTTCCCCTCCCTCTAAAAAGAAATAAATACGATCTAAAAAAAAAAAGCAGAAGAGAGCAAATGATTGTGAGGGTGAGGAGAAATTAGAAACTTGGTGCATTGCAGGCGGGAATGTAAAATGGTGCAGCTGCTGTGGAAAAGTTTGATAGATTCTCAAAAAGTGAATGTAGGATTATCATATAATTCAGCAATTCCACTTCAGGGTATATACTTAAAAGAATTGAAAGCAGGTCCTCAAACAGATATTTGAGTACTGATGTTCCTAACAGCATTAGTCACAGTAGCCAAAGGTAGAAGCAACCCAAGGGTCCATTAACAGATAAATGGATAAACAAAGTGTGGTGTGTACATATAATGGATTATTCACCCTTAAAAAGAAACAAAATTCTGGTAGATACTACAACATACATGAACCTTTAAAATACTATTCTAAGTGAAATGACAATGTATGCTTCCACTTATAGAAAGTACCTAGAATAGGCAAATTAATATACACAAAGTCGAATAGAGGTTACCAGGGGCTGGGGAAAGGGGCGGTGGCGGGGAGTCGGTGTGTTATGGGGACAGCTCCGGGTTGGGATGACGAAAAGCGCTGAGCCAAAGAGCGGTGAAAGGCTGCACAACAACGTCAGTGCCGTCGGTACCACTGAACTGTGTACCAACAAATAGTTAAAATGGTAAATTTTATGATACATATATCTTACCACAATTAAAAAACACATACTCGTATACCTAGATGGCCTGAAGTTTTAAAAAATTTGGACCAGAAATGTCTTTTTCTCATGGCCTGCCCCAGCTGGCTTAGTCTTTTACACAAACGTGCGGGACGGGCCAGGGTTGGCCTTAGCTGCCTATCGCCTGAGGTAAGCCAAATTGTCGGGAACTCCCCCTCTCCTTTGAGGCAGGAAGTTTAAATTATCAGGTCAATTAGGAAAGATACAACCGAAAAATACAAGTTTCATTCACGCTTCAAGGAGGCGTTTCCTGGCCGGGTGCCACTTTTATTATTTTTGGCGGAGGCCGCTGAAAGCCCCACAGACCCGGTGAAGGTACAATGTGATCTTTGATTTGTGTTTCAAAGATCAAAGAGAGTGAGTTTGGGTGTAAATGCAGATAACATTTCAGAGATCCTTTCATGAAAGGAGTCACTAGACCAGGGCAGAAAGGGAGCTGGTGTGTTACGTGTGCCTTCGCCTTGGGAAAGATCATTTTCCAGTGAATTCGGCTGCCTGTGGCCCCAGTTACTCCTGGCCTGCATCCAGGTCCTTGGCCCACGGGACATTAGGTCCTTGAGCTGGGGGCTGGACCTCCCACTTCTTGCCTGGGCACCGTAAGGGCGAAAGGAGGACACGTGGGGCCGTGCATGTGAGGCGTCCCCAATCTTATACTTCTTCTCCTGGCTTTTCCAACATCTCTGTGGGTGCTGACTGGCACTCCACTCCTGGGCGGCAGGCTTGGCATTTGCAGCCTACCCTCATTGTCCTCTCTGGGTCCAGCCTCGGCTAGGGTGGAGGCGCACAAACCCACCAACGATGAGAAACTCACAGGCCCTGCCTGCCAGAATGCCGGTGGTGCGTTCTTGGAGAAAGCGCTGCCCGGCCCTATCGCTCTGCGCTGGAGGTGCGTAGAACCAGGCCCTTGAAACATGGGGTACTGGGCGGTGACAGAGACTTCACAAAGGACAGCCGCAGTGTCTCTACGCCTAAACCCTCCCTAATGCCCGCAGCCCCCCGTGCCCGGCTGACTCGAGGAAGTAACCACGAGCTGCAGTGGCATCAGCGCCTGCATCTCCGCAGGAGCTAGGGGGGCACCGCGGGCCCATCCGGAGCTACTCAGTGCTCACCCCCGCCCAGCGTATTCCCCGTCCGCTCGCCCGCGTAGCTCCGCCTACTCCCGCCCCGCGCCTGCGCACGCGACTCCGTGTGCTCTCGTGGCACTAGGCGCGGCTCGGGGCTAAGAGCGATCCCATCGCCCCTCGCGCTGCGCTGCCGCGCTGGCAGGACCAGGGAGCGTCTGCGCGGCCGCGGCCCCGCGGCGCACGGCGCAGGCGCGGCCCGGTCGGGAGGCCGGCGTAGGTTGGGCCGAGAGCCAGTGCGGGGACGTACGGGGAGGCCGTGCGCACGCAGGGGGTGTGGCTGCACGACGCAGTGGGGTTCTGAGCTCCTCGCTGCTCCGGTTTGGAGTTGCTATCTTCGGCTCCAGGGTCAGTGGGGCGGTGAGAACCGGGGCGTCCGGCGGTGGGATCCCTCCTTCTGTCCCTTCCCAAATCCTGTTCTGCGGAGACGTGCTCGGAGTCCTCGGACTGCGTCCCCGCTGCCCTTCTAGCCAGTGGGCCTCAGTTTATCAGTCCGCTCCAGGGGCTGAGGGGACGCCTGGAATCATTTTCAGTTGGTTCCCGCCGTCTCCGTCCCTAGAGGTAGCGCCCTTCACTGTCCTCACGGCGGCCGATCTTGTTCTCCACTTTGTAGGTAACACCTGGACTTTGGCCTTCGGAGAGAAGCGCGTCCGCACGGTCTCTGGCTGCAGATTCTTGGTCCCTGTTGGTGGGCGCCTGGCGTAGCTGTAGGTGGGTCTGCTTCTTATTGCGGTGGAGCTTGTGAGCCTAAATCCCCGCGGTTTCCTGCATGGCGGATGCGGGAGGGGTGGTGCAGTGGTCTTCCCTGAAGTGGAGGCACTTGCTGTGAGGCTTTGGGCAAATTATTCTGTTCCTGGGGCCTTGGGGTCTCCTCGGAGCAGAGAACGTTCCAGTGTTCCAGGCTGCTGGCTTTGACTTTGTGGAGGCAAGTGAACGTGAGCCGCGGTACCTGCTCCTTGATAGAATGCTGTCCAGTCCAGGAGAAGGGCCCAAATTCTTCAGTGCCAAGAAGGGTGGAGAGAGAAATGAGAGAGACCAACAGACTGATAGGCGTGGGAGAGCCAAGGTTCTCTCATCAGTCCGTCCCAGTCTTAGGAGGGTTCAGGCACACGCAGGACTGGCTCTTTGGCACAGTTTTCTTCCTGAGGTTGCAGAGGACACACAGGAATGCTGATGAGTGGGGAGCGTGACAGCTAGGGTTCTAAGTGGGGATGTGAGGTCTGGACTGGGAGAAAGGGAGGGCAGAGACCTGGGTAGTGCATTGGCTCCTGGGCATGGGATATGTGTTGTCTCTGTGGGTGGCCTAGCACCCAACTTCAGATTGGTGGTAGGAGCTGCAATGTGGTTATTGCTTTTCAGAGCTTGGTGAGGGACTGGACTCGGCTCTGAGTATATTGCATTCTTGTGCGTCTCCTTGGGCCACTGCTGCTGGCAGGCCCTAGCATATTCTTTCCTTGTATTAGGATGGGAAGGACTTTTCACATGGAAGACCACTGCCAGAGTAGAGGATGTGTCTGAGGGGTTCTCTAATGCTTGGGTGGCAAAGGCAGGGGTTGGTGGCCCCCATAGCCTCAAGCACTGCAGGCCACCCTGGGAGGTTCTGGGCAGAAAGACCAACAAAGCTGTGCTTTCCTGGGGGAACGCACTCTGATTAGGGGTAGATGAACACAGGAAACTGCATGTGAAGGTGGGGGCGGGCCATGGTGCCCCTAGGTGTGAATTGATAGCGCATTGGGGAATGAGTGGAGGTGTTGTCAGAAAAATCGAACGAGGGGTGAAGCAGAGAGCTCTGCAGAGGCCGTGAGTGGGCCTCCCTTGAAGAGAAAGTGGGGAGGTGGCTACTGTTAGGCTAGGCAGTGAGAGCCCTGGGGGAGGGCTGCTTGCACTGGGAAAGAACTGTGCCTGCTGATGGTTACAGCCTCCTTTCCCACTTCAGGGCTCTTTGGGCTGCTCAGGATTGAGGATCATCGCTCTCCAGGCCCTTGGCAGGAGGGAAGTGAGAGAAGATGCAGCCTGTGGGATTAAGCTTGGGATATCAGATGTTGGGCATTGACTGGGAAGGAGGTCCAGGAAGGTGGTGTTTGGAGACAAGATGGCATTGCCTGTAGACTATTCTGGGTGGTGAGGTGAGTCTGGAAGGCTGGAGACAAAGAGAATAGCAAAGCCCTGGGCTTCTGTCACACATGCATCTACCATGCTCCTCACGCTGTGATATAAAAGAATCTTAGGACCGTCTGTGTCATAAATTAGTGTTAGTGTTTGGGGCAGCTAGAAAACTCCTGCTAAGTGGACTATGTAGTGCACAATTGGTGTGGTGAGGTTGATGGTTAAGTGTTTGGTTTCTAGAGCCAGGTTCGGCTGTCTCCGCCACTTACTGGTTGGTGTGTGGCTGTAGACAAGTGACCTCACTCATCACTCTGCCTTGGGGACTGTTATTATGGTACCAACCTTACGAGAGGGTCAGTGTTTGGTGTGGATAGAACACTCAGTAAAAGGTTGCTACTGTCATTCTCCTGAAATTCCCAGATAGCCAGACTGCTCAGAGAAGCCCAGGGGGTTCTGATCTGGCCCCCTTTCCTTCTCCTGGTACTGACAGCATCTGCCATCACACCTTGTCCTTGAAATGTCACAGGTGGCATTTGACCACCTTCTTGGACCTCCCAGGCCCTCCTTCCACTCAGATCTCCTTGTGGGTTACCTAGGGTTCTCCTGCTTGTTGCCTCCCCTTGCAGCCTGATGGTGATGGTTGGGCCTAGTTTCCGCTCTTCCCCACCTTGTTTTTGGACAGATTGCCTTGGATGGTGACCTGCGTCTGACAGTCCCATCAGCTCTTCTCAGCTCTCCTGAGGCCGCAGCTGTCAGCTCCCCTGACCCTCAGCACTTGCCTGGACCACCTGGGGTTTGCCGTGCCCCTCTCCAGCCCATCTCTGTCCTCTTGTGTCCCGAGTATCGCTTCTGACCACCCTCCCCTCCTGCACCATCATTCCTCCCTTCTCCCCTTCTTTGTAGCAGCTGGTGCCGCAGCCTCCTTCCCCTCTCAGCATGCTTCGTGGCTGGCGCCGGCGGCAGGGTCCTCGAAATCCCATCAGGGCTGCAGCCAATTATGCCAATGCACACCCTTGGCAGGAGATCGACTGGGCCTCTCCTGGGGCTGCATACGCCCCCCTAGTGGATCCCTGGATTGAGCAACCCTGCTGTGGGGACCCTGTGTGCGTGCGCACAGCCATGGAGCAGAAGAGCACAGTGAGCGGCGAGGCTACAGCAAGGGATCCCCCTGCTGTGCGCATGCCTGGCCCACGACCCCTCAGGGTGGACTTCCACTGGGTGCCGGGCTCAGACCCAGGCACCTTTGATGGCTCCCCTTGGCTGCTGGACCGCTTTTTGGCTCAGCTGGGCGATTACATGTCTTTCCGCTTTGAGCACTACCAGGACCACCTCAGCCGTGTCTGCGAGATCCTCGGGCGCCTGACAGGCCGAGCTCGGGCCTGGGCCGCCCCCTACCTTGATGGGGACCTACCCCTGCCTGATGACTATGAGCGCTTTTGCCAGGATCTTGAGGAGGTCATTCAGGACCCAAACAATTTTGCTGAATACCATGCTGCAGTGCCCTGCCCCTTGCCCCCGGCCTCGAGCCAGCCGCCAGTGGCCCCACAGCTGCCTGTGGTGAGGCAGTACTTAGCTAGGTTCTCGGACGCCCTGGCACTCAACATGGGTGCCACCCCCAGGCCTGCCCCAGCCGCTGCGGCCATGCCTACTGTTCCTAGTTCCAACTCTGCACTCAGAAATGCTCTGCCTGAGCAGCAGCTGGCCGAGGAAAGCAGCCCTCAGCCCGCCGAGCCCCCTGCCTTGTCCAGTTCTGCATGTGGCACCAAATCTGTCCTTGTACTTTCAGAATCTGCTAACTCCCCTGCCCAGAAACCAGATCCAGCTCATGCAGGGGGTTCAGAACTCCAGAAGACAGAGGAGGAGGTTCCTGAGGCAGAGGGAGACCAAGGGGCATCTGTAGTTGGCCCCCAGGGGGCGGTGGGCACCCCGGAGACCCCAGGAGAGTCACCATTTTCTCCTGTTCTCTGCCCTGCGATCCTGGATTCTGAACAGGGTCCAGGTGGGTGCAGCAGTGGCCCTCGTGATGAAGCAGCTTGCGTAGCCAAGGAGCCCCATGGCCCCCCATCAGGACCAGGTGGCATTGCCAGGTGACTTTAGACATAGTGCTGCCATGTGTTACGCAGTCCACTTGCCCCATTGCTGGGCAGGAGGTGCACTTGTTTGGACCCTGTCTTGTCCGAATACAAACAACCCCCTCGTCTCACCACAGCAGAAAATTGGCCTCTGCGCTCTAGTCGTGATCGGACTCCCCGATGGCCCAGAGGCTGCTTTCTGCTGGGCTCCCCGTAGTGTCCTCACCCCTGCCCTGAGAGGACCATCTCCCCTGGGCATGTTCCTGCTAGTTGGGCAGAGTTCCTTAGATCAGTCCCCATCAGGTACTTCCACCGTCTTTGTAAACCCCGCCCGCCAAGCACACAGAACCCCCCTTCAACCCTGGCTGCAGCTGAGCTGGGTCAGTCATGCCAGCCCTGTTTGGATCTGGTCCCTGGATGGGCTTTGCTTTGTCCCCCTTCCCCCTCAGTCTCGGCTTTCAGTGGCCTGTCCTCTGGGCTGGAATTGATGGGAAGTTGCATGGAGGAAGTGACCACTTTCATTGTTGAGTTGGATGGTATCTTGCTGGAGAAAGATGCTTTTCTGTGGGTTTATCAGCGGCCCTGCTCAGCTGGGAAGGCTCCACACAGGAAGGGGGGGTGGAAAGCCACCTTTTGGTCTCGGCTCCATTCCAGCCATTTTCCCCTTCTGTATGTTAACTTTCTAGTCACCCGTTTCCTTGAATTTTTCTGTCTCAGTGCCTTTACTTCTGCTGCCCTCCCACTTTCTGCTCTTCAGCAGCCCCGCCCTATTGCCCACCCTTGCACGTCGCTGGTTCTGCGCTGAAACCCCAGCACTCCATGAGTCGTGTTGCTGGGTAGACTGTGAGCCTCTAGGGCAGGGGCTCCATCTTGGCTTGTGTCCCTGGTACATAGTCGGTGCTCATTAAATGTCTGCTGGATCCATGGCTGAGCCTGCGGTGTGGTGACTGCTGACAAGCAGAGCCCGTTCCACTGGCAGGAACAGGGAGGCCAGGCCCCAGCCACGAGGCCCTCAGGTCAGCGTCATGTGTGTGGTTGGGAGCTTTGAGGATGGCAGGGCCTGGCTGAGGATCTGGGCTGACCAGGTGGGAGCGGGAGGCTTGACAGACGGAGTGTGGCCTTGGGAGCGGAGGGGAAGTGAGGAGCAGGGAGCCATGAGGCCCCAGGGGCCGGAGGCTTGGAATGAAGAAAGACCTGTTCAGTACCAGGATGGGTTTTCTAATAATGAGAGCGGAGCTGGGGAGCTCCCTCAAGCCAAATTTCACTCAGATTGGTCCTCTGCACTTACTCAGATGAGTGGTTAGACAAGAATTTCAAGCCCCTTTCAGTTTTATCATTGTGTAAATAAAAAGAGCACCTTCCTGGAAAGTAGGAAGAAGAAATAAGTGGAAATGGGAGCTGCAACTAAAACCAGTAATTTTAGGAAAAATTGTAGAACCTAGAGCTGCTTTTCTGGGACACATGGCCCAGTTGACACCCCTGTTATGTGGCTGGCCGCTGCCCAGGGCTGCCTTTCCGGTCTCCATTCAGGGGGCCCTCAGCTCGAGGCTGCTGCTTTCCCTTCGGGCCGCCTGCCCCGCTGGGGCTGTTCCTCCCTTGGGCCCCAGGCCGCTCCTGGCCTTGGACTATAGTGTGACATATCTCTGCTGAGGGCCAGCTCTGCCGAGGCAGGCCCAGGGGGATTTGGGAGGGGCCCGATGACTTACTTACAGAGTGGGTCTTACTCTGGTTGGGCTGCCATCACAGAAGGAAAGGAGACGAGGGCTGGGCCTCAGGGGTGATGGCAAAATTGCCCGTTCCTGGGTGGCATCAGGAGAGGACGGAGGGCTCTGGCCTGGCCTGGCCTGGCCTGCCACACAGGCAGTGTGTGTGGTGGTGCAAAGGGACAGCTTCCTCTGGTGCTGTGCTCTGCTTTGGGGAGACGCAATGACCTAGCTGCTTTGGCACTCTGGGGGAGCAGGACCGCAGAGGGCGGGGAGAGGGGCCCTGCCGTGCTGTGCTCAGGGCAGTAGGGCCATCGGGGCGTTCGCCACCCCCAGCTCGCCACACGGGCGGCAGCCCTGAGGAGAGTGCCCCTGGGAGCGGCGTGGTCTGGCGGCGTGCGGGCAGGCGCAGGACCGGCTGGGGTGCCAGGCCCGTCTTCTAGATCGTATCTCTCTTTCATGTCCCTTGGGAATGCTCACCGATTTCGTATTCTAAAGATAGGGCACGGTGGGCACTATGGGAGGGTTTTCGAAGTACCTGTGTCCAAGGAAAATTCTAACATTGGCGTATTAAGGCAAAAAAGTCCTGTGAGATACTGAACATTTATAAAGTTGCAGTAACAAAGGTGCTCCCTTGGAAATTGGTGTGAATGGGTGAACGGAAGAAGATAGAGAACTTTGGAATAAAGCCAAATAAATGAGGAATTTAGTTCATACCAGAGGTGTTTCAAATTAATGTTTCAAATTAATGGGGTAAAGTGGATTATTCAGCAGAAGGAGTTGCAACCGCTGTTTAACTCTCTGGGCAATAACAACTGGGTGCCTTCCTCACTGTTTGCAGCAGCGTGTGCTCCAGACAAATTAAAGATTTCAACATTAAAAATAATTAAAGTAGTGGGGGTGAATTTATTTCCAGTGTGTGATTCCGGGACTGACTTTAAGTTTTAGGGACCCAGAATTGCCAAAGGCATGGAGAAACAAACTTTTTCATGCTGTTAGTTGGAGTATCAAATACTACAGTTTGCTCACGTGACCTTTCCAGGCACGTAGATGCTGACCGCTTGCCTGAGTGCAGGGGGTCATTGCTCGTTCCTCAGGAGGTGCGGGGCTTCAGACCATGGACTTGAGCTTGGCTACACCTTGCCTGTCACACTTGGAAGCTGACAGTCCTCAGTGTGTCACCTGACCTGTCTGTGCTGTTCGAAAAGTTTCTCCTCACAGGGCATTGGTGGGGGGCGAGGGAATTTGAATGAGATAAGGCCTGCGCAGTGGCCTGGGCCTCAGTGACTGCCAAGGGAGCCGCACGGCAACGCTGGCAGCAGCCCGAAGGCCCAGCTGCACAGTGAGGTCCGTGGAGCTGTTGTCTGTTGTGCCGGTCAGGATATGCCAGGCCGTGCTGCAGTAACAAACGTCTGGCATCTCAGCCACCTGCCACCTGTCACAGATCAACTCTGCCCTTTACAGTCCCTTCGAGACCCTTGCCCACAGGAGCCCCCCCCACCCCCGGATGGGTTTTTCCACAGCCACAGAGGGGGAAACCACAGTGAGCCACGTGTGCCTCTCCCCTCTGTTACCATCACCGTGGTGACTGGCACACCTGAGCTTGGGTGGATGGGAACATATAATCCTTCTGTGGGGTGGGATGGGGTGCGGTGGGGCGGGGCCCTTGGCCTGGAGGAGAGCAAGCGCCCCCTCCGCCTGACTCCCCGACTCTAGAGGGCAGCCATTGCGGCGGGGCGGCGGGGAGGCAGTGCAGGACCGTATCGGCGCCCTGGGGAGAGGCCTGCATTCCTTGCTGCGGCCACGTGGCTCAAACAACAGAATGTTTTCTCACAGTTCTGGAGGCCAAAAATCTGATACAGAGGTATCTGCGGGGTGGTTTCTCCTGAGACCCTCTCCCTAGCTTGTGATGGCTGTCCTCTCCCCCTTCCCACGGTTGTCCCTCTGCTTGTCCTGACCTCCTCTTGGGACCACACCAGTCATGTTACTAGGGCCTGCCCGTTTGACCTAATTTAACTTTAATTGCCTTTTTAAGGGCCCTGTCTCCAAATATAGTCACATTCTGAGGTGCTGGGGGTTAGGATTCTAAATTGGTGGGGATAAAACATGGGTTGCCCAACATGGGCTTCTTTTTTTATTTTTGCAATTTTGGACAGTGCTGTCATGAGAACCTTCCTGAGGGTCCCAGAAGGCCCATGTGCAGAGCCCCTCTAGGCCCTTGGAGCAGGAAGTGCGTGCCCAGTTCTGTATGCAGGGTGCTTCTTAAGAAACATTTCCTCTGCCTGAGGGTCAGAGACATGACACCGTATTCCCAAGTCTTACCACTCTGCCTTTTACGTTGACTGCGGAATCTGTAGGGGTGAGGAGTGCATGGGGTCTGCTGGCAGCAGCAGAGAGCCTGAGAAGACAGCCAGGCGTGCATGAGAGACGGCTCTGTGGACAGGTTTGGCCAGCATGGCGCCCAGCACGGGAAGCCGATGGTCACCTGCCCTGTGGGAAAGGTGAAATGGGGTCCCCGATGGGGTTAGAGTGAATAGGTCCTGCCGTGGAAAAACAAGCCCCCAAACTCAGCAGCTTCACACATCCAACATCTATTTCCCGCTCTTATTACGTGCTCGGCGCAGGTGAGGGCTTGCAGGTTGGGAGGTCCAGGAGCGGTGTTGGTTGGGCACCTGATCCCGGGTGCTGTCCCCTGGTGTACCACAGCCTCCCATCACCGAGTCCTTGTGTCCCTGCCCTGAAAATCCGGACACCAGCCTTGGGGTGGTGACAGCTGGGAGGGTGACCCAGTGCCCGTGCAGTTCTGCCCCCGGGCACCCGCCCCGCTCGAGGCGCACACTTCACCGATGCCCACCTCAGCCTCCTGGTCCCTGTGAGCGTCCCCGTTCCCAGCAAGCTGTGGAACTCCTAACCTCACTTTCGCCACCTGTGAATGAGAGCTACCTCCCGTGTGCCTGGGAAACAGAAGCCTCAGGGCTGCAGTGGCTGTCCCTGACCCTTCTCTCCCTCAGACTTCAACCAAGCACCAGTGGCAGCCATCAGTGCAAGTGTACGTATGGGGGTGTGTGCCCCTAGATGTGTGCATAAGACCGGCAGCCCATTATGAACATGCATGCATCTATAAGCATGTTATTTGCATGTCTAGTAGACAGATCACCAGGGGACCCCTCCATTCGAGATGGCCTCTGCCACAGGAGCAACCTCGTGGGTCCCTGTCAGAAAGTGCATCACCACAACCGTGGTTAGGGACCCCCTCTCCAAGAGGGACTGGGGTCCTAGAAGCTGCCAGGGCACCAGCCTGCAGGGATCCGCCCCATTTTATGCCCTTGGTGGGCGCTGCCCGGGCAGGTGGCCGCTGTGGACGAGGCCTGTTGCCAGAAGGGGGCCGCAGGGGCTGGCACTGGCGCAGGATGGTCACACTTCTTGGAAAACAACATGCATTTTCACGTGTTCACCAGGGAGAAAAAGGCTGGTGGCCCGTTGCTGGCCAGGTTCCTACCCCTGCCCATAAATACTTTGGGAAAGGCTGGCAGAAAACGCCCCTCAGTCGGGCTTCCTTCCTGCCATCTCGCCAGGCTCTTTGGACCCGCTCCTGAGGGTAACGGATGTCCTCAGCTGCAGCTCGAGACGCCTGGTCATGGCGAGGCCCTGCCCGCCCATCCTGCCTGTCCCCGCAGCGCAGGCGCCTCACCCTGGCATTTCCTTCCTTTCAGTCCAGTCCCGAGGAGAAGTCTGTGCCTCTGGGCCTCAGCGCCCACGGCCGTGGGAGGCCCTTGCCGGCTGCGAGCAGACCGGTCACTCGCCCCTCGTGCCTCCAGCCTTGAGGCTATGAGACAGCACCATGCCTCCAGCTCCTGAAGGCTCACTCCTCTGCCCCAGCGCAGCCTGGCCCTGCCAGGGCATCGTCTGTGGCATGGCAGGGGAGGGGAGAATAGGCCAAGGTGGGCTGGTGGGCTCACTCTGCCTGGGCACTGACCGCGCCCGAGGGCCTTGACTCCTGCAGGGATCCTGGCCCTGGGAGACTCGGCTATAACCCGGCCTCCACTACCCTCCGCCCCAAACGCAGTGGGGCTCATCTGGAAAGGGGTGCTCTTAGACTTGGCGGGCAAGGGTCCAGGCACTGGAGGCAAAGCCTAACTCCGCAGGCCAGGAGACCCCCTTGGCCTTCACAGGGCCCGCTGGCAGCCAGCCCCGAGGGGCCTGGGACTCTGCTCCCAGAGAGGTGAGGCTGACCTCCTGCCTGAGGCCATCTATTTTGCTGGAGGGGGTGGCCAAGCTTCGCCAGAGCAGAAGGTCTGTAACTTACGGAGTTGGTGACTCGCTTTTTTTTGAATGGAAGGAGCGGCTTCAGACCAGGGACAGAGGTGGGTGGCCGTCCTAACCCTAGGGTCTTCAGGGGTGTGACACTCTTGGCTCCACCACAGAAACCTGTCTCCAGCCGTACCCCGAGTTCTGCTTTGGGGGCTCACCGGCTCATGGGGGGATGCCTTACCTGCCAGGTGCCCAGGCTGTACATGGGGCTCCGAGGGGCCTCCCGGCAGTAGGGCTTAGGGCTTTCTCTGTCCACTCACAGAACAGGGCCTTGCCCAAGCTTAGGCCCAGATCCATCAGTCAAGGCCAAGGCCACTGCCTGCTGTCCTGGGAGACAGATGTGCCAAAAGCCGAAAACCAGCAGGCCTCAGGCCTGGGACGGCCTCAGGCCCTTTAGGGAAAGGGCTACTGAGAGTGTGCTTGTCGCCCCACACGCTCCCACACACAGCTGTATTGGTCGCCTGCCTGCGGAGCTGGAAATGGCTGCGGTTGGGGTGTGCTGGCCCACCCCACTTGCTGGCGCAGGGGAGGCAGGCGCAGGGCCGGGGCTGGGCTCCCACCTTCCCACTGGGCTCTGAGGCCCGAGGTGTGCAGAGCTGGGCTGCATGTGGCACCAGCCTCTCTTCCCCCCTCCCTTTCTGCCTCTCTCCCTTCCTCCCGTCCTCCCTCCCTCCCTCTGGGGCAGGGTTGGCCAGGCTGCATCCCGGAACCCTCCCCAGGATCTGCATCTTTGAAGCCATGGATACTGACAGAGGATTCAATGAATCCAAGGTCGCCAGCCGGGCGTTGACAGATGCCCGGCCATGATACTATTTCTGATTTAATAACCGAATGGGAGGCTGGCCCTTGGTAATAATTAGGGCTAATTACTGAGGAGGTGTTGACAGACGGGCTGAGAGGAAACAAACTACCTTTATCCCGGGGCTTAGAGTCAGATTACCGGCCCGTGCTATCTGCCCCTCAGAAAGTAGACGCTTCAATCACTCACCAAGGCTTCAAAGGGGCAAGGGCCCTGACAATGCATGGGGTTTGGAAAGGAGCTATGAAGTGCGCCTTTGACTTCGACTCACCAGCGGAGCCCCATTCCAGAAATGGTTTCTTTGTGAAGTCTGAGTTACCCTGGGCAAACGTGCCTCCAAGCTCAGGCAGGCTGGGGCCCTGGCTGGCCCGCCCACCTGCCCAGGCCCTTCCGTGTGGTGTTTCCTTGGCCTGGCAGTGTGTCCAGTTCTTTATGTGGCCGTGAGCTGCAGGTAAGGGGATCGATCTTATCCCAGCAGGCTGTTGTTTTCCTTTGCCTCATCTGGACACGGCTTCTCTGTAGCCCTCAGGGGCAGGCCTGGCCTCTCTGCAGGGGCCCTGATATATGGTAGGACCACCCCTCGGGGGCCCAGGCGTCACTCATGGGGCTGCCCCACCCCCATCTTGGGCAGTGAGCCAATATGGACAGGACACTGCCCCCCGGGGTCTCAGTGACAGAGAGGTGAAGGGTTGTTCTAAGTCTCAGATGTGCCGTACATGTCCCTGATGACTCCCCTGGATCTCTGTGCACTTTAAAGTCGGTGGGGGTGCTGCGATCAGAC